TTTGCAGGAAACAGTCAAAGACTGGACTTTTCTTTACTACATGTATTCAATCATGAAGACAATTGAGTTTTTGAATGAGTCAAAGATACAACTTGTAACCCATCTAACTAGAGTCACTTAGGGCACATGCCTCTTTGTTGTCAGTTTGTACTTTTCTTAATCCCCAAAGGAGCTCTGAGTTTTATTTTTAAATTAGTTACTCATTTCGTTTTTTACAGAAAACTTTTTACTGATGACAAAATTAAAATATTTGTTCTAGCAGGTCATGATTGGTTGAGTATCAAGATACCACTGTAGTCTATTTGATTAACATGATTTTTATATATGCAGTAGCATTGAGGGATTAATTAACTGCACTAATCAAGTTATATATATATCACTTGATTAGTGCATATTAGTGATATATATATATCTGTGAGTACCTCTAGAGATTGGTTGGTGGCCATCCCTCAAGAAGAATGGTCTGCATGTTTTCAGAAGTAATTTGAATGAATGAACAGTTTCATTCAGCATCATGGATAATACTTTGAGGAAACCATGAACAATGTTGATAAGGTTCACATACAATTTTTCATGTATCTGGAAACTTTCAGACTGACCCTTATAACAGTTGTATTTCATTCATATATCTCCAGTTCTGTTTAAGGAGGCTATTAATGTGATAGTTTAACTTTATTGGAAAAGTTTGCTATATAATATTCTTGTTTAATTGCTTTACTAATGAGTCTATTACTTATATAGGAACCACAAGTAGGATACTAAACACTCCTGTTTCTGAATATCAAAATGATATGATACATGTTGGACAAACCTTTTTGGTCTTGTAAGTTTGTAGCATGCATATTAGGACTGCAGACAAGTATACATTTTGGAAACAGTTTACATTTGAAAGGCAATCATGTAATCATTTGACAGTAAACATTCCTGGACATTGGACAACTTCATTAAATTACTTAAGTAAATTTGTTTTATTAGTTTAGAATTTACCAAATGTTTTGTTGTATAGCTTAAAATATAGCTCTTTAATTATTTCAAAATTTTATAATATTTTTTACTATTTTAATTTTTCAAATTGTTATTTTAACTATGTTCCACAACTACTATTTTTTTTGTAAGACTCCTATAAGAGTCATACTTGTGTGTGTGTGTGTGTGTGTGTGTGTGTGTGTGTGTAAAACTGGCTGTAAACCTAAATTGAGTCACTATTTTTGTAGATCTTTGGTGTCTTTTTAAGCATTGTCTTGTTGGAACAAAACAAATATGTTTACAAATTTGATTTAAAAAAGTTATCCTAAGAGAGTATCTATTTTAAATGAAAAATATTTTTGTAATGTGCATGAATAAAAGTACAGATTGTTGTTAGCTTTTTCTAAACTGATGTGATAAATTTTTTTCCACAATTTTCATATGTAGATCTATGTAACTAATTCATAAATTATTTGCTTTATCCTTCTGTATGATTAATCTATTGTTTTAGTTATGATAATTTTTTTGTATGAATAAAGGAAAGATAATCATCTATCTAACCATCCTTTGAAAGGATTGTTTGATTGTCAACATATCTAAAAAGTGATATATACAGAGTGAGTCAAAATTATGTGAACAATCTTTGGCGAGTCAAAATTATGTGAACAATCTTTGGCGAGTCAAAATTATGTGAACAATCTTTGGCGAGTCAAAATTATGTGAACACTATTTGAGAGAGAGCATTTACTCAAAGTTTGCATTATACAGTGTCTCAACCTGACCACCAGCATGATTAATGCACTCAAACCAACTTTTAACAGTACAATTTAGTGCCAGAACACCAGAGATTGGAGAGGCCATAACAACAGTCCGTCGTGACCAATCAGAGTAGAAAACAAAAAAAATAAGATGTTTCATTAATAATGTTTAATTAAAAATTAAGATTGTTCACATAATTTTGACTCACCCTGAATTTTTGATAATTGTTTACTATTGAAGACTTCACAAATTTTAATAAAACTTCTGAAAATTCAGATTATGAGAAGATAGGAAAGGATGGAAGATGCTGAGTAATATGACCTAATAGCAATTTAAGAAGTATTTTTTGACAAATTTATTACAAGAATTTATAGAAATATCATATTTTACAATACAGTAATTGAGTTAACTTAAATATTTTAATTATATCTTTTCAATTAATATTTACAATTTATTTATAGTTAATAATGAACATTACTAACACTAATAAAGTTTTATTAGAAAACATTATTATTTCAATATTATTATTATTTGAACTATATCACAATGGTACTATTAATGTTTTGCTGCTGTTATGATATGAATAGAGTTTTATATAAATTTTCAGATATAAAATTTATTTATTTCAAAAACTTTTTATTATCATTACCACACACTGTTTTTTGCTCTATCTTATTATGAATTACTTAAATATTTCTTGATATAAATGCTGAATAAAGAAATAATGTTGAGACTTTTTAATATATATGTTATGTTGAATTCAGGAATATCACTTATTTTGTGTGAAATAGGTAGGTGATGTGCTAGTTTCAGGAATTTGACAATATTCCTGCCAAATTTATGAACTTATGTATTTTTGAGAGCTTTTGTTTCATTTTTGTTTACTATTGTTTTGGAGTTCTAATTTTTAAGTTTTTGGTGTATGTAATAAATAACATTACTTAATGATATTATACACTTTCTAATCTTCAAGCAAGGAAACAATGCTAAAATAAATCTTTGCAAATTTTTGCATATTTCATAAAATGAGCAACATTCCTGGTTTGAGCTTTAACATATTTTTTGAGGACTTAAACAATAATAGTAGTAGTAATAATTATAATACACAAAACATCTCACATCATTATAGATTTTGTGTATTTGGTATAGCAATATCAAAGTATCTCTATAGAGAAAATAAATAAATATACTGAACTCAAGAAATAAAATGCAAATGGAAAATGGATAAAGTCTATACCATATGTATTGCTCTCTCTGCCACAGGAGTTATCCTATATTTATTACATAAAAGGCAATAAACATTCACTCAAATTTATAAGCAATTTTTTTTTCCCTGTTATCCTTTTTATTTTTTTATCTGTCACCTGTATTTTAATTACATGTAGATAATCATATGCTTAACTTTAAGTTTAGCAATGTTTTGAAAACTTTTTTCTAGTTAAAATGAAAAGTTTTTTAACCTATGTTTTCTTTTTTATGATTTTATGATGCATCATGCTCTCATAACTCGTAGCAACATTTTTTTCTTAAATTGATGACAAATTTATTTGATAAATATAATTATTTATGATTCATGCTACTTGGAAAATTTTTATATACAGTACATTAAAATATTCCTATATTCTTTAGATTCATTCTTAATGTATATTTATTATAGAACCTATTTCTATTACTTATTATCCAATTAGAAACAATTATTTAAAAATTGAAATGTTAAAATTTCGTTAAAATATATGAAAGGAACATTTAATTCCAATACTTTTTAACTTCTTTTATATTCTCTGAAAGTTTTTAAAAAGTAATTTGAAGTCAGAAAACAAATGGTAAATAAAAATTTTCATTACTTTTTGTGATATTCTATAAATTAGAAATATATAGAATGAGCAAAATGATAAAGTTTTTAAAATGTTGAAGATTTATTAATTAAGTATATGTAAAATTATTTAGTATTTATTAATTTCAATTTATTAATTCAAAGCATTATGGATATATTAATATTTTAACATTTATCTGAGTGATTTATTTTTATGTATATAATTGCAATATATTGAAAAGTTTTTAAAAATGTATGCTATTCTATTTAATAAGATTTTTTGATAAAATATATATTTTTAATTTGATCTCATTTTTATATGAACTTATACAATTTTATAATATCATACTCTAATTAGATTAAATAACATTTCTATTATCATATTTCTCTATTTTTAATTATGAGTAATGAAATATTAAAGTGTTTGAAAAGTTATATATATTAGCTATGTTTTGTTAACAGTAATAATTTTTTATATATATACCAGTGATGGGCCTAAATATTAATTTATCATTAATAAATGAAAGGGAAACTGTAAGAGTAATAAGAATTATAATTCTGATTAAATAAGTAAATAGTTTTTTATTTAATTAGATAAAAAAAGAGACACTACACTCAATTATGTAAATTTTTTATTGTAAAACAATAAAATTTTACATAATTGAGTATCGTGTCTATTTTTTTATAATTGCAAATTTATAAAACTGATTTCTAATTATTTCCTTTTGATAGGAATTATTACTTTTGATGATTTAAAAATTAAAACTTAACAGTAATAAAGCCTGCCAAAAGAAAACTTTACTACAAAAAGCAGTTTTTCTTTTCTTTGATAACTTCTTAGTCAATGTTTTTGTATAATTTAATGATAATTTGTATATAAATCTGAAATAATTTAAAATATATTATCATGAAGTTACATTATTAGATATTAGTGGAAACGAATACCTTGAATAGTTTTATGTTTAATTTATCAAATCGTATGTTTTGTGTGTGTGTGTATATATATATAAATTTATTATTATTAATAATACTTAACTTTTAAAATAATTTAAATTGTACATTTAAAACAAAAAAATACAGTAATTGCACTTCACAACAAAAAGGTTATTATACACAATATAGATTTTATTTACATATTTTAAAAATGAAATATTCTTTATATTTCCAATTTGACAGTTAGCTTTAAATAGGTTAAATAATATGAATCACAATTCTTGATAATATATTTTAATTGATTTAACTTACAAAAATCTAAGTTTTTAATTATCATATTTGAAATTGTGCTAAAGTTCCTTTATTTTATTTAATTAAGACAAAATATACCCAGGAAAATATAAGTTTAGTGTTTATCATTTTATTAATTAAATTATTTTATACAGATATTTTTAATTAAATTTTTATAATAAAAATCAATAATTTTTTGGTTGATTTATATTAAAAAACATATTTTCCTAATTATTAGCAACCATTATGGCGTTTATGGGGTGAAGAAAAGCAAGCTGATGCTGTTTATACTGTATATCTTAAAAAAGTTCGTTATCATCCTGGATCAAGTTTAAGTTGCAATGTAAGTATTTCTAAACCTGTTTATTAAATATTTGTGTTTTGTAACAAATGTGGGTGGATCTTTAATAATTTCCTTGTATGCCTGTGCCTGTTTTTAATTTCCTTTTCTATATTACTATCATTTCCTCTCTCTCTCTCTCTCTTTCCTGTATAATTTGAGTACAGTAATTCTGTTTATTAATGTTTAATTACTTATTCATTTTTATAGTTTTTAAATTATTTTTCCTTAATCTGTAAAAATTTTAGAATTTTTTTACTAAATTTTCTTATAAAATTTATACAGGATTCTAATGATGTTGTGTCTCATTTGGAATGGGAAACTGTACGAGTACGGTTAATCAAAGCAGGAACACTAGAAAAATTAGTTGAAAGCTTAGCTAATGATTCTGGAGAACTTGAATCTACATATATCAACATATTTTTTGCCACTTATAGATCATTTGCTACTCCTAGACAAGTACTTATGCTGTTGTTAGACAGGTTAGTCATAACCTTGAGAACTAGTATTTTGAATATAATTGTTTATAGTATATAATAGATGAACTGCTGAATGCTTGAAATTATTCAGATAAGTTTTCTTAATATAAATTATTTTTGAAATTTTTTTTAGATATAAACAATTGGGTAGCAAGAAAAATGACATGCCAGATTTTATGAAACAACAGCATAGAAGGTAGACTTATAAGTATTTTTCATTATTAGTAATAAATTTACATAATAATACAGTCTAAAGATAATTTTATTTTTAGAACATTAATTCAAGCACTTCTAGTTTGGCTTGATATGTTTCCTGAAGATTTTTATGAACCACCTCAGTATCTTAGTCTACATCAAATTGCTGATTTTGCAAAAAAGTATCTTTCAGGAAGTATGTTAGAATTGAGAGCACTTAACAGAATTGAAAAATACAAGCAAGAAGAAACAATAGGTATTATTTTTGATAATATAATATTTAAAATGCATGAAATATTGTTTTTATTTGCAAAAATATTGTTTTGAAAAATAGAAATAGAGAAAACAATTATGATGATATAATTTTCGATTTAATTAATATTTTAATATATATATTATTATAGTGCAAATTATATAAATAAGAAAATTTTGGAAATTTAATGTTTAGTGTTATCAACTCAAAAACATTTGACAATATAAGAGATGACAATAAGGAAACAAAAATTAATTTTTGTATTAAAATAACTGATATGTTTGAAATGAGACAAAGATAATAATTGTAATTTCTCAGTTTTAATGTGAAAATAATGTGTACAGTGTATAAAAACAGCACTTGCAACTCAGTGTTTGTTGGTGCAGAGATTACTCTCATCAAGAGATTAAATGATGCATAAATAGGGGTTCAAAATCCTTTCACATTTTTAATCAAAAGAACACTGTCATACTACAAAATATTAAAATTATATCTGACATTTGATATATCACAAGCAAATATAAGCATTTAGATCAAACTACTTGTTACCACAGAATATATGTGAAATTAAATTATTAACAAAGTTTATCCCATTTTTCTTTGATATTTTGGTGTTCTACTAGATTCCATTCAATCTCTTAAACTAACTTTCTCTACTTTTTCCTGTTGTCCAATTATCTCTCCTGCCATGGATTAATTCCACTCCTAAATATTTGTAAAGGTCACATACTATGAGTTTACATTTTTTGTTTTTATACTAATATCTTTACCTCCCAAACAAATATTTTTTCTCATATTCATGAGATAATTCACACACACTTCTATTGAAATACAGAGATTGTACAGAATTTAATTTGCTTAATGAACTATCCTCTGAAAAGTCTCTATTTGAAATTGAAGTTTTTGTTGTTGATTTGATCTCATCACCAATTCTTATTAGTTTTGGCTTTCTTAAATAACTAAAGAATATTGTTTTCTTTAAAGACTTAACTTTAAAGCAAAGTTTAATAAATACAAAATAACAATATTATTTTTAATATGAAAAATTGATGATTTGTGCACTAACAGAGCTTAGTTCTTATTTGTGGAAAATACTATTGAAAAACAAAAAATTTTTTAAGCAGGGAAGTATTATATAAAGAAAGGCTTAGTTCCCATTGTGGACAAATTACACAAATGGAAATTTCAGAAAACAAACAGAAAATAAAAAAAATATTCTATTTATATGTTTATTCCATTTTCTGAAAATTTAGGATGTCTAGAATAACATCTACAATTGATGCCATTTTAAATGTGACTTTTGATGTATAACATTTCAATCTAATGATATGTAACTCAACAATTATAAACAAAAAATTGTTATTAATGCTTACATTTAATTTTAATTCATTTAATTTTAATTTATTTTGATTTGATTTTTGATTCAGCACCACTGTCAAATAAATTAGGATGGTGTATATCATGTGAAGATAATAACAACACACTCACATGTTTTCCATATGAATTTTTAGAATTACCAGTAGATCATTTTGCACGCCAGTTAACTTGGATTGATGCAGTGAGTATTGTTATATTTTCTATCTTTGTAACAATCATTAGTTAATGTCTTAAAACTTGATTGTTTTTTACTTAGGAATTATTTAAAAAATTAGTTCCACATCATTGTCTCGGTTCCATCTGGTCAAGAAGAGAAAAGGCAAAAGAAATGTATACCTCTTCTACTACAGTAACTGCAACTGTTAACCAATTCAATGCTCTTTCTAGTCGTGTTATTTCTACTGTATTATCTGTGCCTAACATGAAAGTTGCAGCTAGATCTAAAATAATCTCAAAATGGATAGACATTGCCCAAGTAAATTTCACATTTATTATTATTAAAATTACTTTTATTATAATTATTTCATTTTACAGAAAAAGGTCAATTTATACTTTGGGAACAGAAAAAAAGATAACTTATCTGTTTTCCTTCTCATATACATTTTATATTTTAAAACAAAACAAGAGATATATATATATTTATGCAGCATTTAGCTACATAAGCATACCTGATGCATTAACAATCTAACTAACTTGTCAAAAACTTAAAATTGTAAACTGATGAGAGATTGAGGAAGTTCCTGAAATGCAATTTTGATATTTTAGAGAAATATAATTAATATTTATTCAAATTTGAGTTTCTGCATTTAGATAACTTAAAATAATTAAACATTATCCATAAATTTTTTGTTGATAAATATTGTTTTATCAGTCTTCATGATTACACAGAACTTTGTATCCACAGAATTGTGGGTACAATGTGAGAAAATATGAAGTGCAGAAAAGTAAAATTTTCTATCTTAAGAATGGATGCTTGAATATTGCTCGGTTTCTTTTCCATCTTTTTCTGTTCATGTGAAGTATAACTAAAATAGTTTAATAAGTAAAGTTTGTTTATTTATCTATACTAATATTATAAAGAGGTAAAGTTTGTAAGTTTGGATGTAGGAGGTAATCTCCGAAACTACTCATCCAATTTCAAAAATTCTTTCAGTAATATTTAGAATGGAACTTCAAGGTGGACATAGGCTGTATATTATTCCGTTAAACATTCATATAAATTAATTAAAAGATATCATCTAGGATTAAGACTTTATGTCCAAAGATGACGCTAACTCCGCGAGTACGACGACCTAAGTTTGCTTTTCTGTGAGGATGAAGTAAAGCAGATCATCTATCTATCTATATAAATAAAAATGTAACGTTTGTTTGTTCCTACCGATTCCTTTGAAATTTTGACACAACGTTGCATTCGAATACGCACGTGTTTTTATATAATATACATGTTGAAATTCCCTCACTGGGGGGGAGATGAACAGGATTAAGGCTTACCGTAAAGAACTCTGCTTCTTTTTATACTATTTTAGATGCGTTTTTTTGAATTTTTGATTGTGTTTTAATAAGGTACATCAAGAGAATGTACACTAAGAAGGGATTTTTTGAAATATTCCCCCTCCCCCCACGGGGAAGTGTTATACATTTATAATAGATACATTTTGAGCCACAAAAACACATGGCAGGGTCTGCTAGTTGTTAGATATTGAACTCAGCAAACAAATGTCTTATTTAACATAGTGTAAAATTCAGAGAAAATTTAATTTGGATTTGAATATAATACTTTTTATAGAAACTTATTTTCTACTAAATATATTCAGTTCTGAATTAAACATTCTTGGATATATATGATGGAAAAATTTTTTTAAAATATATATGGTATTAAGGATGTCTGTAATTAAATTCTAATGTAATTTTAAAGTAATTCTAGTAAACTTTTTCCTAAAATTTACTAGAATTACTTTAAAATTATAAACATTTTCTATAAAATAATTAAGAAAGACAATTATGCAAAAAGTGTATTTTCATAAATTCAGTGAAAGAGTTTTATATTTGGACAAGTCTTAATAAAATTACAGAAATTAGTAATTACTAACTTTAAAAACATAATGCAAATAATATTACAAAACAGTCTATAAAGTTTTTCATATTAATTACAATTTGTTGCTGTTGCAGAATAGATATTTTATATAAGAGTATGATAGCATACTACATTCTTTTCTTCTGTAAATTAATCTAGTAATTGTTGTTACTAGAGAAAATGTTATCATCATCTGCCCTCTGGACATGAAGAGTGATTTAACATTCCATGAAGGTGGGCTATCGGAAGTCACAACAGAATATAAGGCATGAAATTTAACATATTTGGATCAGACCATCTATTAAATTCTAAAGAACTGAATTCAAAACTAAATCTTTCAGCAAAGGAAGTACATGTCTTATCTCCCTCAGCTATCAGTTTACCTGTAAAAAAAGATTAAGAAAATACAAAAGTCACACTAGGTTTAGGTTAATTATTATAATAGTAATAATGGAGAAAATGCCATCTAATCACTCTGTCATTTGTGAAATTTGTCTGAACAGATATTTAATACAAATGATTGTGTGGAGAAGCAAACTTGTATGAAAATTGTTACAATGAGATATCATGTCATCTGTTATCAATCTTGTTATCAATGAGATATCATGTCATCATATCATTTCTTCTTCACATTGTACAGACAATGTGAAGAAGAAATGTTAGAAAAATATATCAAAAAACTATTCTATTATCATATTATACTGCTTGGATAGGGATCTGTTATCTATTTACTTATTTCTATACTGTATGGAAAAAATCACCATTGTAAATTTATCTTTATTAAACAAAATTTTAACAATAGATATTATATTTTATTTAGACTTTTAAGTTAATGCTTTTATTAACTTAAAATGTATAAGTGAAATATTAGACAAAATTATAATAAGGCAACAGGCAATTATATATTTTGACAGTGCCACAATGCTCTGCTTCAATTTTTAATCATTTTTTTAATTTATTTAATTTGAAATATATGCTCTCCACCTCAAATTAGTCGTGTCATGCCCTGTACATCATATTTTTCTGTTAGCAGTAGAGTTGTGTCGGTCATTTATATAACTCTTTTCATGGGAAAATTTTTAAATTGAAATAACATGACTTCTGGTTTGCATCAGATGTTCATATATAGGTAATTGGTGCCTCCTGCCCCTAAGGTTTCTATATCTGGTCTCATCTGTCATCTAACTAACTCCATCCTCGAGATTAAGGAAAGACAGACATGACAGTGGGAATTTATAGGTCTACAATTTTTTCAAATTGCAGCCCAATAACAGTAGACAAATTGTTCTAACAATTCTTATATTGCACATTGCTATATCCTGAATTTGATAAACATGTCTATTTAATAATATCTGTTTGTTTTCTTTTGTATTTAGTTTGGCATAATTTTCTTTTTTAATCATTTTCCATAGAAATATTAATGTGATTTGCAATAAAGGAGTACCTAAGCTTATAGCTGAGAGAAAGTCTACTGTGTTTTATTGATTTGGATTAAAGAGACACGTACTCAAACTAGAAATAATATATTTGAAATAATTCTAGTAAATAAACGTTTCTTCTGCAGGGATATCGGAATATCTAGAATTTAATTATAGATACCCTCATTATCTGAATAGTGTTTAGAATTAATAGAATATAAAATAATTATCCTATACAAAATTTTCAAAAATAAACAGTGAAATTTATCCAACTATCTTTTCAGTAATTGTAATATAATCTTATGTATGACTTGTAGACTTTTCATTTTCAGATTTCCTAATTGGATTTGCTAACATTATTATTAGTTTTCATTTTTATTCATGTAAATGATTGAGATGGATCAATCCTAATATCAACAAATATTAGGATTGCAGGAAAGTAAGTTAAAAACACAACTCTTTTATCATGTCCAAAGACCTTGTAAATGATATTATTGCTAAAGGAATAATAGTATGACTTTGTTACATAGTCTTATGAATAGTATTGAGAATCATTGCTTTAGTTAATAATGTTATGGGACTTAATTCATATTCTAACTTATTTTTGTTTAACGCTATTAAAGGTTAGCAGCACTCATCATTTGTAACTGTTTTTTTGTACTAAAGTTTTTTATGATGAATTTCTTATTAAAATTGTGTATAATTTTGTCTTGATAAAGCATTTTATCTGATAGCTGTTGATAAAAGAATTATTGTTAAAAATACATTTCACTTATAGTTGAACATTCCAAAGTTTCTTATAATTTGCATAAGAAAAAAATTAACTTTGTTCTTTAATTTCCTAGCATAAATAAATTTTTGCACTATTCAGTATATCTCTTGTACTTGATAAAATAAACAGAATTGTGAAAAATTATGTTATTGTGATGTGATGGATTGATTAACCACAAATCCTTACATTATTTCTGTGATGTATTATCAATTTTTCTAACATTTCTTGTAATTTGTTCTTATTATTGTACCAATTTTTACTTCACATTAAATTTAAAAATTGTTTTTGTGCGATCTAATAATATAATTTTTTAATATTATAAATTTTAAAATTATTTCAATATAGATTTTATTACAGAAGTTTAGGAGTGATTTATAATAATTAACATTGTGTGAGATTTTGCTATATTTATTGATATAATTACAGTAGAGTGTTGATTATCCAAAAGAATTCCAGTCGGCAAATTTAAATTTTCGTCAGTGCTGTGGCACTACAAGTTGACCCCCCTATAACACTGTTGATTTTTCCATTTTATATGAATTCCATGTTGTACGAGTCACTTAGATTTTACAAATACGTGTGCTGGGCTGTGAACAACGCACGTATTTGTAAAATCTAAGTGACTTGTACAACATGGAATTCATATAAAACCGAAAAATCAACAGTGTTTTAGGGGGGTCCACTGTACAATCTTTGGCTATGTTTTGGGCTACTCAAATATTTTACGTTTTTGATACTAAATTAACTTCTGAAGTATAATTTTTTATTGTTTTTATATTTTTCAATTTATTTATTTTGTTTGTACAAAATGAAAAAATAGTTTTTTCCTGTTCCATTGTTTTTGTTTGGCTTAACATTGACGAAAATTCAATGCGAAGCGACACGCAACAGAGAAAAATTTCAACATGGGATAGGTTAATATATTTTTTTGTACATAATCGGTTATCCGAAATATCGATTTTCTGAACAACCCCAGTCCCCAATTGATTCAGATAATTGATGCTCTATTGTATTTTATTTTGAAATAAAACAACTTTATCTTCCTTGCTAAATATAATTTATGAAACTATTTTTGCAGGAATTAAGATTTTTGAAAAATTTTTCTTCTCTAAAAGCAATTACTGCTGCATTGCAAACTGTTCCAGTTCATAGATTGAAAAGAGTTTGGTTATCTGTTCCAAGGTAGTTTTACAACTAATTTTTATTAAAAATTATTGAAAATAAATTGAAAATTATTAATTAATTCAATTTATATAATTACTAGGGAAAAAGTTGAAGTATTTTCAGAATTAGCTAGGATTTTTTCTGAAGATAATAATCAAATGAATTGTAGGGAGTTATTAATTAAGGTATTACTATTATAGATTTGAATATATTTGAATTTTGACAAATGACATTTACAGTTTGATGTTTAATTTTATGCTTTAGGAAGGATCAGCAAAATTTGCTGACACTGTGGGAGAAAATGATCGTCAACTTCAGAAAGCTTTCCAGAAACAGTTATCAAATAGTGCAGTATGTAAATTATGAATTATCTAATATTTCTGTTCTTATATTTGAGAATTATAAGTTTTTTTAATATATATCATAGATGTCTATTATGCAAGGGACCATTCCTTATTTGGGAACATTTCTGACTGACCTGATGATGATTGATGCTGCAATTCCAGATACATTACCAGATGGATTGATTAATTTTGATAAAAAAAGAAAGGAATTTGAGGTTTTGGCCCAGATTAAATTACTTCAAAGTTCTGCAAATAACTATAATATTGTTCCTGATCATAAATTTCAAGCTTGGTTTGAAAATTTACCAACCATTGATGATAATGAAAGGTAAAAATATTTTATTATTTACCTAGGTTATAGTTAAATTTTTATTAATCAGTTAATAAATGAACCTTTTGATTTTATAGTTATCAACTATCATTTCTCATAGAGTCCCATGTGCCTGCAAATAATGAAAAACGGCCTTTGCAAAAGTCTCGAAGGTTTGTAAATTTTGAAGTAATTTTTAAAACTATAAAGTAATATAAATTTATGTATAGAGTTTTTTATTTTTTTATTTTCTTAGTTCAAACAATACATATTATCATAAGAAAAATGACTCTACATCATCTACGTCAACTTCTTCGTCAAATAGCCAATTTTACGATCAAAGTAGCAGTGATGCTAGTATGGCTAGTATAACAATGGATGGTGTTAAGGTATATTTTGTTATATATTAATTTATTTTTGATTAAAAGCTGTTAGAAATAGATTTTATACTTTTTTTTTTTAATAAGTTGTGTCGACCTTTTTTTAGAATAAGATATGACTGCAGGAAAGAAATTTTCATATTATATAATAAGAACAAACTTATCATATGAAGAATTGATGCATAAATTTAATCAATTAGATATTAGCTGTTTCATTTAATTAAGTGTCATAACAATTTGTAAGTTCAAAATAATCTTGCTGAAAGGTTAGCTTGTTTTATTATTATTATCCTAATTGACAGGAAAAATTAAGAATTACAGTTTATTTTATAGTGACATTTTATATCAGAAAAAATTCTTTGTATTAATTACATTTTTGTATACTTTTTATATACTATTTTAGATAAAACATTATCATTTCATTTTTTTCATATTTTACACTATCATCATTTATATAAAAAGTGTTTTTTGTAGATTAAAAATCATGCCATATATTTGACCCAAGATCTGTCCAAAAAACAGCATTCTGCATTTGAACTACTCTGCATCATATATGAAATGCTATTAGTTATAAATCAGAAAATAGATATGATAAATTTTTAATTATTTGTTGATATATGCATCATATTAATTTGTTTTTTTATAAAATAGCAGTTAAATACCCGAAAAGTTATATAAATCCAGTATAATCAAAATCTCTTTAACAAATTATTTTACAAACTTAATTATTATTACTTCAAAATTTACAATGAAATCAGTTGGCAACAATATGTAATTTTTATGTAAAATAAATATAATTAATTTTAAAAAGTTATGTATTTGCTTGTTGGAATTTTTAATTTCAAATAAATTAAAAATTTCATAATAAGACTAGCTATACATGCTGAATATCAGGAACACGTTAAGAATTCAATGACATGAACCTTTTCATTAGAGGCTACTCATCCATCTTTAGAACTTGTTGATGTTAAAAATGTTTTGAATATTGATTATTCATGTGTGTTTCACTTCTTAATTGGCAACAGCAAACCTCATTTCTGGACAAAATAGTAACTGGAGATGAGAAGTGGTTATTATACACTGATCTGAAATTATATAAGAATAATGTTTCTTTAAAAATTGAAATAGATTTGTTTTCATGTTCTGATTATTTCTGTAACTTGATATACATTCATTTTATTTTATTGAATAAAATTTTGAAATAATATACAGTAAATCATTTTTTAATACAACTAAAAATTTGCTCTTAATGTCTTTTAATAAATGTTTCTGATGCATTGATGAATAGTGCAATGATTTAAAAATTTCTATTTAGCCGTCAGCATCTTGTTCATCACTAACATTTGGATCATTTGGTTCAACATTTGCTCTAGCGTCAGATATTGTTAACTCAGGAATTTCTCAACAGGCTCCAGAATTTTATATAATTAGAGTGAGCATTGAGCAAGATGACAGAAAAGAAGTGGAAGGAGTGAATCTTTATAAGAGTATAATGGTATTTTCTCTTTCTATTAATACTAAGTAAATATTTTTTCAAAAATATAAATTTCTTTCTTTAATTGATTTTCAGTTAAGCAACTGTGATCATACACGAACTGTAATATATAATGCTATGATGAAGCATGGATTAGTGGGTAATCCAGATGACTATGAGTTAGCTCAGCTTTTGCCAGATGGAGGTAAGATATTTAATAAATTTTGTAGAGTACAACTAATAAGTTTATGAAATTTTAATATCTTTTCTTTATTATATATAAACTTCTTCATAATTTAATTCAAAAATTTTCTCAAATATCTACAATATTTCCTACATATCTAGAGTTATTGCAGTTTATTGTGGGTAAATATCCATGATAAACTGCAATAACTCTTGCAATAAACTGCAATAAAATAAATAAGATTGCTTTTAGTAGAAAATGATTATGTATTCTTAATTTGCTTTTAATTTTCAATTGGCCAATAAGTACAAATTATTCAGTTTGTCTCAATTAGTTTTTATGTGGACATATTAAATCTGTACTTTACAAAGCCTTGCTTTAAATGACATTCATGTTATAACCAAACTAAAATATAGATGTGTTTATGGAATTGCAAAATACATGATTACATATCATGATTTGATCTCATATGAAATTTATTACAAAAATAAACTACAAAATGTATAATGACTGTAAAGTTCCTGTGTTATTAAAAAGCATTTCTAATATTCAGAAGTTAATGGTGCCAAGATTGCTTTGTGTCATTAGATGTCACAACATGAGTCATTAATGACATTGCTATTTAAATTAGATTTCAATGCACATGCAGGAAAGATACTACTACTGTTTTTGGTATGCACCACAGTTGAATTTAAATCAAATTAATTAGTAAAAACCATGTTAATTGACATTTATGTAATATAAATGGCATCCAAGAATTTGTATTTAAAGATACTTAAGTCAAATTAAATAAGAAAAATTTATTAATATAATATAATATATATAATATTACATTGGATTTGTAGGCATTTTTATGCATAAAATACAGCTAAAAAGTTAAAAAAAGGCTTTATTTTGGAAGCCAGGAACAGATTAATCCATTTTATATTGTTTCTTGTGGAAAAATTTGTTTTGGTTTTAGAACAAATCTTTTTTTAACAACTTTTAGGAACAAATTATGTTCAAAAACCAAGGTTTGACTGTAATTAAAAATTCAGATAACTTTATTTTACTACTAGATATTAGAATTACAGGTAGGCCTCCTACAACGCGATACCTTTACAATGCGTTTTCGCTCCAACGTGGTTGGAAAAATGCGGAAATTTTCTTACATGGTACTTTTACAACGCGGTTTACGGTAATTAGAAACGAATTATCTTCACATAACAGAAAAATCGCAACGAATCACGTGATATGAGCCACAGTTTGGTATACAGAGCTAAAAGTCCTTGAAAACAGCTGTTTGTCGATGTTGGCATGTTATTCCCTTGAAAGTTTCAGGGGAAGACCGGTTTCTAGACAGATGTGCATCAGTTACTGTAAACACTCAAATATATCACTAAATTTTCGATCATTTATACTCTTTCAATAAGTAGGGATTGCAAAAATGGTCTAAAATACAGTACTGTATAAACTTCTATTGGATGTATATTTTTAACAACATAGTGAAAGGAAGTTATTTTTTGCGATTTTTACTGTCCACAAAACTGATTGAAAAAATTTTAACCATAACAATGCCGAATGAAAAGAAAAGGACCGTCATTAAAAAGGAAATTTATAACTCTTCAAACAAAGATAGAAATTTTGGATTGAATTAAAAATTGAGTGAATCGCTAACATTGGTAGGCATTTTAATTTAAATGAGTCGAATATTCGGTCGCTTAAGCAATCGGGAGAAAAGATCAGAAATTTGGTCGCATCCGGATCATCTATTCTTGCGAAAAATGTTGCTCGTCCGAGAGCACCTATAATGAAAAAAATAGAACAAGCGCTAATATTATGGGTAGAACATGGTATGGGTAGGTAATATTATGAACAAGAAACAAGTGCCTTTAAATAAAACTGCGCTTAAACACAAAGCCTTAAAAATATTTGATTATTTAAAACAAATGGGACAGTAGTCAGCTGTTGAAACCAGTGTTAAATTCGTGGCTAGCAATGGCTGGTTTGGAAAATTCAAAAAACGCCATTCAAACGCCAAGTTTTTCTGTTTTTAGAACCGAATCCCAGTTTTTGTATTAAGTTGATGTCTCCTATAACGCAATTTCCCACAATGCAGTATTTTCAAGGAACGTATCTACCGCGTTGTAGGAGGCCTACCTCTATTTTGTTGTCTACTATTAGAGTATCTACCAGTATATGGATGAGAATTATTGCCTACAATCGAAACTGAAAAATTTCCTGCAATTTTTCAGTTATTAGCAGCTCTTTCATGTCTATTCAGAAGTAAATATTTTAAAAAATATTATGTTAAACACCCTGTAAACAGTTTTACTTATAAGATGCTAGAAGTGTGTTTTCCACCTTATCGACTTGTAATAAATGTTTATTTTTAAAGAATTAAAAAGGCCCCTTGAAAAATATGCTTCAAATAAAAGTTTGATATTTTCAAGTTATTGACTTGTAAACCACCTTACATGAAACATCCTGTATTAAACATTACAAAAGACTTCCAGATACTAAGGATAGGAATGTGTAAAGAACATGTCAGTGTTTTGAAAACTACATCATTTGCTATCAGTCAGTCTACTTCATATATCCTCTTCATAATTTGTTACTTTTTAGAAGAATAAAATTAAATCTATACTTTGCAATCAACCTGTATAATCAGTCAAGATAATGCATTATGCTATTCTAGTCAGGTCAACTTTTGGTGCTTGTGAGAGTCAGTAACCTTTTGGGATTCACAGCACATTGCAGTTTGGGCTGCAAATATTTATTTAAATTATACCAGAGGTGTAGGGTTAGAATCATTTGTAATAAAAAGAATTCTGGGAGTTTAAGTAATAAAAGCATACCAATTCTCATATATTTTTTAATGTTAAATAATTATATAAAGTTTTACATAAAATTCTGTTTCACATTTTATGTCCCTCAATTAATTTTTGTATCTAGTTTGAGTTTTGATAAAACTTTCTTCCTTCTCATGCCATACTACAACCAACACCAAAAGCCATGTGTATGGTACTACCAAATATTTTGATGAGTATCTATTAATGAAATTGTGAAAAAAAAAAAATGGAGTAGTTACAGCAGGAGGCAGTCATCAGCAAGCCATGTGAAGCTTCTAATCATTACTTTTATTCCTCTCAGTCCACAGAAACATTTATTTACATATTTACGTAGGCTCTGGGCTGTTGTCAATTTTAATGCATGGAGTAGCTTCCCTAAAAACAAAGAAGCTCATGGAATAAAACTAATTTGTGGCTATCATACAGGCCAAAGGTTTCAACAAATTAAATTGTTTGTTATTAGTTACAGTAATCCATCACATTTTGATAATAATAGGGCACAGTGTATATACTTTTGAGTCAGTTTCCATTATTAAATGTTGTTTTCATAGATGTATTTGGATAACAATAAATTTCACATTATTAATATAACCTTCAAAAATTAATCAAACAAAAATTTCCATTTTCTTTGTACTGTGATCATTAAGTAATATATCTTACAGTTTTCTTTTATTTTTTGGCTAGTAATTGTTTAAAATAATAAAATTGTGTGTAGTACTATCTATTGTTATATTTTATTAACTTTTAAAAATAAATTATGTAATTTTTATAAAAATGCAAATGGCTTAATTTTGAGGGTAGAGATGAGATTTTTAAATGCCAATAATGAGTAAAACTTTCATTAAGTCATGTATCATATCCCAAGTGTGACCACAATTGGGATATGATACATGACCTCCCTCTTTTTCCCTAACTCTCGACCTTTAATCCCGAAATTTAATGTTATCAATGCACTTATACAGATGCATCCTTGCCAAATTTCATTTCTCCATTTTGAGATATCAATAGCGAGGTTGAGGCCGAAGTTTTAAATGCGAAAACATGTATGTTGGATGTTCAGCACCACTTTCCTGTAAGTCTAGAAGTTTGACAATGGTGTTTGGAATGTCGAGCATGATTCCACTGACTATCCAAACATCATTGTCAAACTTCTAGGCTTACAGGAAAGCAGCACTGAATGTCCAGCGTACATGTTTCGCATTTAAAACTTCGACCTCAACCTTGCTAATCAAAATAGATGTCAGCACCTACAATTAATTTTTTCTTCTTTTTATTTTTGTTCAGAGAGTCTCAAAACATCAAGATTTGCAAAAAATGCAAAAAGTCAAATTTGACATGATTCCAATACTTCCATATTATATACATAATATCCCAGAAACTAAAAGTCTGATGTTCTAATTTTAATTTATCAGGGAAAAATAAGCATTTTAAAGATTTACCTTTAAAATTCTACAATATTTTTCATAAATTCATGAAAAAGCTGTTTATCTATAGCAAATAAATTGTATTAATAATAATGTTTAATTAAATACATATAATAAATAATTAAATATATAATAGTCCAACTCTTGAATAAACTAGTTAGAGCTTACCTTGTAGCTTAATGAAGGTCATTTCAGAAATTCATTAGCCTGTGGGAGATTGCAACTTCAGATATACGATGTAGGGTGATTTGTCCAAACAAGAAGTTATACTGTAAAATATGGTATATTACATATACCTTGTTTCTGAAGTGATGAGATTATTTTGAAAACTCATACAGTATAATAGTCTTTTATATAGTATTATAATATTATACTAATTTTATTTATGTACAGTACCTGCATTATTACACAATTACAATATTACAATTACAAATATAAAACCACATTTTGATTCTTTGACATTCAATAATAATTTTTTTTAACAGAAATAGTTTTCCCCAGTTCTGCAAATGTGTATTATGCTATTAATACAGCATATGACCTGAACTTTATTCTAAGAAGACAAAATAATATATCTCAGAAGAGATGTAAACCTACGCCTCTAGTGAAACGCATACTGGGAACCGTGACGTAAATCGTGTACATGTAATGAGAGAGAAGAAGAATTGTAAATATTATTTATGTAAATGTGCATGTAATTGTACATGACTGTTAACGATCATTGCACTGCAGATTAATCGAATTGGTTTTAAATGCAGCTGATTTAGTATGAGTGAATCAAAATATACCGAAGATTGTAAATAATTATTTTTAAAGGTGTTTGTATTGTAGCTGTTTTGTAAATATAGAATCATGAACAAATATCACTATGTATATTTTGGTCTTCCAGAAGAACAATCATTGTGCCATATTATGTAAACAATATATAAATATTTGGGACCACAATATTTGTACAGAATGGAAATATATTTTATTAAAATATTTTATCTTTAATTTGGCTAATTGTATTCTTATTAGATGAAATACAAAATCATTTTTACAGATTTAAATTATTTTTGTTGCATTTTTACCATTAATTTAAAATACATGAAATAGTTTCTACATATCAGTTTCTGTACACTTCTAACACAGGTCGCTTAAAAAACATGTGTTCACTAATTGCAACTTATCTAACTAAGCTTGTAGTTGTAAATATGCAGTACTTCTAAACTTTTTGCAAGCTTCACTGTGAAATTTGAAATTGTCAACAAATATAAACAAAATAATAATAATAAATCTATGATAAGTTTCTGCTATAATTTGTATTTTAGTAGTCTATGTTTAGAGGTATTTCACATTTGAGAAGTTGAGTTTCTGTGACTCAAGTAATTTATCCATTGTAAATCTTGCTGCAGAATATTAATGTTTTCTTCTTCAATTGTGACTTGAATAATCATGTTGAATTTTAAATAAACTGATTTGTTCACTGAAATGATGATAATTTGGTGACATACTTTTTTGTTGCTGATTTTGTCATGAAAAACAGGCAGTGTGATAACTTCAGTTTGCATAATGGTCAAATGAACCTAAGTATTCGAGAGCAGCTCTGTAGCAAAATTGATACTGGTCCTANAGTCACTTAGATTTTACAAATACGTGTGCTGGGCTGTGAACGGCTCACGTATTTGTAAAATCTAAGTGACTCGTACAATATGGAATTCATATAAAACGGAAAAATCAACTGTGTTATACGGGGGTCGACTAATTCAAAACAGGGTTGGGTTACAAAAGTTAGCAATAGTGACTATTTTTTCGTAATTAAGAGAGATTTTATTAAAGCAATAATTATCTAATGATCATAAAGTATTGCACGTTAATATATTATTAATAAATATTAAATTTTTTTCATTGATAAACACGTTAAACCAGGACGTTTCCTTTTCCGAAAAATGTCATTTTCTGAGCTTTCCTGTTGACCTTTCGGCAATATCTTGATTTTTCTCTACTTTTTCTTAAAATCTGATACAGCACTTTCATTTGCTTACGTTGGCCTAAGAGAACTTTAAAAACTTAGGCCCAGATTCACGAAAGCCTGGTATCACAACTTACCACAAAATATGGCATTCGCAAAACTTGTAACCGAAAATGTCGTAAATAAGCGTCGTTATATACAACAGAGTGAGTTGTCGTAAGTCAAGGCAATTCAAGCTGGTCGGTGAATATTTAGCTTTTTTGATCGAAGACATTTTGTTAGTGGAGTTAATCTGATACTATCGAATGTCAAGGAACACGATTTTTAGTTTTAATTCAGTAACTGAAACCTTGTTTGGAAAGGCGTACACGTCATGTATAGCATACTATTCTCTTAATCATATTCAAATTAAGTAAAGTTTACCTAGGTAGTCCCAATGGCGGCACTTCCTAAATCTCGACATGTGTGGTTTGAAAGTTAACTTATGTGTCACTGTCTTTTGTTTAAAAGTTTTCTAACTCATTCCAGTACCACAATAATTTCATAACATTTTATAACTGTGTTAAGAGTAATTTAAATTTTTAGGTTCAAAAAGTTATGTAATGTTGTGTGAATCATTTTTTTCGATGTTTACAATTCATATTTTGTCGTTAATTATTGTAATGGCGAATCTTGAAAAACATGAACTTTTTTTTTTGCAAAAGTGTGCATCAAGATAATTTTTTTCATTTTATAGTATCTGAATATTCTGAATTTAATTGTGACAAGAGAAATACATCAGTTGGTATGTTTGCCATAAAGTTTGGTATGCAACTGCAGATGCAGTTTGTTCGAAATGTGATGGTTGTCGTAAAATAAATTATCGAAATGATCATGATTCTGTTTCTTTTAGATGTCAAATGCAATATATTATTTGAAGTAACTTTTAAACGTAAATTTGGGAAAATTTCTATGCAAATTAGATGCCAAATATTTGGCATCTAATTTGCATAGAATGTACCTTACGTTGGAGCTTGGTCTGGCTGTGACCACGTGAGTAGTCGAACTGCTGTTGACTAGGCGAATTTCATACTATACACAGTGCCGGCCCGAGGCAAGTTTTAAGATGGAGCGAGATCCTATTATGGCGCCCCCTTGGTTGCCCCTAATTTATACCCTTTAATTTTCTTTACCACTTAGGCGCCCCCTAGGACTTAGCGCCTAGTCTAATTTTCCAGAACGAAAATTTGATGGACCTGGAAAGGTTGTCGAAATCGACGAGATTGTTGTGAGCAAGTGAAAAAAACTAGGAGAAAGGTTCGAACTGTTTGTTCAGCATAGGAGTAAGCTTTATCCAAGAGCGAGACGTGTTTTAGTTTGGAAGGAGCCAGATATTGTACAGTACCTTCAGTCCTAAAAGTAAGTGCCAAATAAATCCGAAAATCGTAAGAGGAAGAATGTAGACGTGTTAAGAATGCGGAAAAAGTTTCTACCGTGGAAAAGAACAATGTTACGATAGAATCAATCCAATTTATTTACGGAGGCATAAATGCATGCCTTGGCTTCGCTATGATCACTACCAAGGAAATAAAATACAGGAAATGTAAACAAACAACAGTATGTACATTGAAGATTCCATGCAGAACTGCATATAGAAGACAAAGTCCATAAATTACATACAGGATAAGATAATACATGTTGATATATGTAAGCAGCAAGAGTACATTGTAGATACCATGCAGAACTGCATGATAATTGATAAAATCCACGAAATCAATGAGATAAAATTAAGTAATATTACATCTAAATAAGACTAAGTACTCGCATGACATCAGTTCCACAGGATTACGTACAGAAAAATTAATACAGAATAATGTTAGCAAACAGCAGTAAATACAATGTAGATTCCGTACAGAACCTCGTAATTGTGGATAAAATGCTCAAAACTTATAATTAAATAAAATTCGCGTGTGAAATAGTAATTACAAAGCTAACACTATAAGTAGACAGTCTTTAAGTCAAAGTCAGTGTCAGCAGTAGATTAGTTGGCTTGTGATCTGATTGATCTTTTTTGCAAGTCTTTTAAAGGCAGAGAACATCTCTTTGTTGGTCCAGCTGTTTGAGAGGTGGCACGGCCAAGCTATATTCAATTCCTGCAAGAATAGCCGCAGTTCAGTTCTTTCTATTTCGGTCATCACACAATCAAAAATGTAGTGTTGAGATTCATCTGCAATCATACAAGTTGGGCACTGATCTGATGTTCTGTTTAAAAATCTGGCAAGGTACGTAGCAAATTTTCCGTGATTTGTAAATAATTGAGTTGTGTAGTAATCGGGAGTAAACCATTTTATTTTAAAGAAGCTTTTTAAGTCGGGGACAAATTGAAACGTTATACTTTGGTTACTATCATTCCAACGATGTTGCCAATGGTTAATAGCTTCCTCCCATAGTAAGCGTCGCAAAGTGATATAACTGATTTTATCGTAGGAAAAAGGAATGGTGGAGTTTAGTGCTGCAGCCTTTGCAAGAGAGTCAGCCCTCTCGTTGCCTGTCAGTATTTAACCCAAGAAATACTGATATTACATGTTGAGTTTCTGATTGAATTTCTTATTTCCACTGCCAAAGGATGGAGCTTAGTGTTACGGATAATGTTAAGGGTAGAGAGTGAATCTGTGTAGATTTGAATATCATAATGTGGTAAATTATCACTAACCCAATCAATGGCCTTTTGAATCGTCAAAAGTTCTGATTGGAAAACAGTACAGTTTGTATGGAGACGATAAGCTTGATTGTGTATCTCTAATTGTTTGTCGAAAACCACAAAGCTACTTCCTACTTTACCATCAATTTTAGAACCATCTGTAAATATAGTGATATCCGAATTTGAATAGTGGTCAAGTATATTCGAATTGAGAATATCTGGGGATACAGTGTTACAAAAAGGATAAGGTTGTTCACATTCATCGGGTGTTGTTATTATTGATCCTGCTTGGATTGAATCTCCCTATTTAAGTTGTATTTTCTTCTTACGCAAAATTTCTATATCAATAGGTAACTTACGTGCAATTACTTGGAGACTATTGTTACTTGCAGTACGGAAGGCTTTTGTCAATAAAAGGAGTGCACGTCTTTGAGAGGATATTAACTTTCTCTTTGTATGTACTTTATTTACTGCGCCTCCCCAAGTACCGCATCCGTATGTGGTAAATGGGAGAAAGATACTGTCATAAATGGTGGAGAGAGCTACCACCATTACGATAGAATCATCCGAACCATATTTTTTACAGAATCAATCGGAGAAAAGGAATTAGAAATACATCAACGGTGACTGAAAGATTATTTCTTTAAATGCCGGTGTAGTAAGTAGCTGCGCCGGTCGCCATCGTGTGGACGTCGCGTTCACAAACAAGATGGCGACCGGAAGTGCCGCCATTGGGACTACCTAGGTAAACTTCTACCCATTTTATTATTCATAAAGTGGTAAACTGTATAAAATTTATTTTGTATGCATTTCAAAGGGAAACGTTTCTGAAAAATGGCCGTCGTTGTTGGGAGGTTCGAATGTACAGGGTGGACCAGAAAGAATATACGTATTTCAAACTGATATATTTATTAAACTATCGATAGTAGCGGTGTGCTGCGGGTATCGGAGGAACGAGTGCATTGTCTAGTTTGTCCCCAGATGTCAGTTGTGCTTGGTTACAATGACGTATTCACAGTTGCTGTAAAATGGCTACGCCACAGCACAAAAGCTTTTGTATTCTTGAGCTTGCTTCCGTGATTACAGTGCAAAGACGTTTCCGGTTGAGGTAAGAAATTGATCCTCCGAATGGATGGAACATTCGCAGATGGTACCGTCAGTTTGTTAACACAGGTTGTGTATGTAAAGGAAAGAGTCCTGGCCGACCTCGTGTATCTGAAGAAAATGTCGCACGGATTCAAGCTGCTTACCAACGTAGCCCTTCAAAATCAACATGTCGTGCCAGTCGGGAATTGCAGTTGCCTAAAACAACAGTTTGGCGTGTTTTGAGATGCAGGTTAGTTATGAAGCCTGGACCGAACTCCCGCCCGGACCGTTCGTGTCGCTGGTGGAGGACATATTGAACACCTGTAATCTAAACTAGAGAGTTTCATAAATATTTTTCCCAAGTTCCATAGTTGTATGTCTTACAGTTTATTAAATATATCAGTTTGAAATACGTATATTCTTTTTGGTCCACCCTGTATTTTGTAAAAGATGACAGTTTTGTATAGTCCACAAATACATATCTCTTGAAAGGTTTATTTATTTATAAAGATTTTTTTAAGCTTTATTGTTATTTAGAACATTGTTTTTATAATTTTTTCTTCAATTTTTTCATATGAAACATTAATGGAGGAGAAATAACGTCAATAACTTTTAACTCTCTCAGTGGATGAAAAGGCACGTTCAGAAAGAGGCTAAAAAATGAAACAAAATACAATTTTAATAAATTTTCTTATTAATATATTATAATAATTAAAATAGAATTATCTTAAATATAAAATAATAATTGGATTAGGTAATACTTGGGTAATCTATGAAACCAGAATAGTGCCGGATTATCGAAAATACAGGCTTATTCTACTCACGAGATGCCGGATAACCAAAAATTTCTTATTACTGGGTGCCGGATTAACAAACTTAAAGTTAAATAAATATCACTATTCTAACTGTCATAATCATTGGCGAGAATACTCCAACGTCAAGTAGAAAGCTTGTTTAGAGAAAAAATTTCTTTATAAAATACTGTAACAGTTATATTGTAAAACTAGCAGGTAAGCCTGGCGTTTCTCGAGAAAAAAATAAGTACAAACATTAAGGTTATTAGATTCTTTTGTACTTCTAACCCTTATATTATATTATAGTATTTGATTGATTTATATAACTACAAACGTTATCTTACGTAAGGGTTTATCATACCGAGTGACCAATCTAACACATTTTAAAAATTCTTTCAATTGTGTACTGTAGACGAATAAAGAATTCTTAAAATGTGTTAGATTGGTTATTTAGTGTGATAAACCCTTACGTAAAATAACGTTTGTAGTTTTATAAAGGAAACTTTTGAAAGTTATGGCATAAACATACTGTAAACAGATTTTACACCGTGTAATTTGCACTTTATTCACATGTTGAGTCTAACATGTGAATAAAGTGCACATTACACAGACTACAACTACAGGAAATTTTGAATGAAGCAATGTCGCCACGATAATAAATAGGAAAAATAAACATCGGCACAGAAAAAGACTGAGCTTTACTTTGTGCCTTACAATCGTTGCACGTACTGTACAGTACATTAATTTGGTTGTACGTTAGAATATCTTAAGCAGTATCAGTGAAAAGTTTATGCCAATGGATTTGTGAGTTAATAAGGAGAGACGAAATCAGGGGAGGGGAGGAATGTCTCGGTTTCATGGTAGTTAAGCATGTCCTCGTAAATATGGCGTTTATAGAAAAATTATTAGAATTGGTTTGGTTTATTTGATTATGGCAACTCGACACGCGAGCGATCTTCCGAGGAGGATGCATTCCGGAAAGACTTATGTAAAGCTGCCCCCAATTTAAGTGTTATTAACGCGAAGGAAAACCAGAAAACGCCACATGACCAGTCCTTTAGCCGTGCGCGAACCCACGACCGATTACTTGTGTTCGGTGGTTTTATCCACTCGGTTACTGGAGGGTACTTATTGGGTTGCAATTTTTTCAAATTGCAGATCTATAAATTCCCATCGTCCGTTCGTCTCTCTCCTTCCTTAATATCGAGAACGGAATTAGATAGATGAAAGACGAGACCAGATATGAAAATCTTGGAAACAGAATGGCCCCCAATTAACTATATTCTAACTTCGATACAAACCGGAAGTCACGTTATTTCAATTCAAAACTTTTCCCTTGAAAGCAGTTCCTAGGTGACCAGCGCGACTCTAGTATTAAAGAAAAAGTATAATGCACAGGGGCAAGCCACTACTAATTTGAGGTGGAGAGCATATATTTTAATGATGAACTCAAGATATTTTCTTCAAATTAGAAGTTAAGACTATTTACAAAAATATTTAATTTTCGAGTCTATCCATTAATCCTTTTTGAAGAAATAACTTCAATAAAAAACAAAAATAAAAATAGGTAAAAATTTTCCACTATTAAAAACGATCAAACGTCAGCTTTCCAATAGTGGAAAATTTTTACCTATTGTTATTTGTTTTTTAATGAAGTTATTTCTTCAAACCAATGTAACGGGTACTTATGTGGTTGTGTAAAATGGATAAACTCGAAAATTAAATATTTTTGTAAATAGTCTAAACTTCTAATTTGAAGAATTCTAATTTGACATATATTTTAAATTAAATTAATTAAAAATATGATTAAAAATTGCAGTCCGGCTTTGTGATATCACAATAAATAATTGCTCGTTAAAGGTATCAATATATTTCCATTTAAAAATGCAAATAAGAAAAAAGTTACCTCCTTTTCAGGTTGCAACTAATAAAATTGTTAAATAAATATCTTATATAATTTTTAAGGTGATTTTCTATTGTTTAAAATAATTCTGAGCACATTTTAATCAATTAAAATTAACTGGTAACGAGCAGTTATTTATTGTGACACTGTTACAATACGGAGCTGCAATTTTCAATAATCTTTAAAGAGCAATCACGTAAAAAATCACGTGACTTCCGGTCCAGATGGGAAGTTCGTATATAGTTAACCGGGCTTTCGATCCATAAGCTTTTCATATCTGGTCTCGATTTTCATCTACGTAACTCCGTTCTCGGCATTAACGAAGGATAGACAGACAGTGGGAATGTATAGGTCTGCAATTTACTTGATGCATCGTCACAGAAGTATAAGGCGATGTTATTTTAAATACATTAAAAAGTGACTCACTATATTCAATCTAGCAAAAAAGTCGTCTCCAGTTTCAAATAACTTATCTTCATCTTCCCGTTTTTCATCAATATGTTTAACATCTCTTCTGCACCTCTGACTTTCTTGGAGGTATCTTTCTAACATGTCCACTTTTGACCCACTTATTATATCCCAAAGTTTCAAATGTTTGGCTGTTAAATCGTAAATCTTAGGTTTACGTTTAAACACTGGTAGAGCATGTGTATCATTTATTCCAGTTTGATGCAATGTGGGTAATGAACCTAATTTCACTTTCAGTTTATCCCACTTTTCCGAATTTTTGTGATGTGTCTGCTTATTTCTGCATCCTCTCTGAAAATTGGTACAAAAATAATTATTATTATTGTTGGGTTTAGTGGGTTATACTTGGTTCACACCGGTAGCTGTGTACTATGCCGGACCAGAGTCAAGGCATAGCAACCAAAACAAAACTAAAATTAATTTAAATAAGTGTGTCATTGTCAGTGTAGGTATTCAGGAATTTTCTAACAATATGGCATGTATTCAATATAGTGGCCTTCAGGAATTTCCTAACAATATGGCATGTATTCAATATAGATGCTTGTATTTCTATTCAATTGTAATGTGTTCCCAGGCTTTTGTGTAGTGTGTGTGGTATCACACCTGTACAGGAGAGAACACAATACAATAAGCACCCTATCCATCCTCCACAGATGCCTTATTTTCTGGGCGAGTTCTGTGTACTTGCTAGTTTTTTCAATGCATGTGTTTTGTACATTGTGAGTGTTTGGAATGGCTATGTCTATAATGTATGTGATTTTATTGTGTTTGTCAATGAGTGTGATGTCTGGTCTGTTGTGGTAAATTGTTTTATCTGTGATTATGGCTCTGTCGTAGTACATTTTGTGCGTGTTATTTTCCAATAGTGGAATATACTTGTAGTATGGTTCGTGGATGTCTACCAATTTGTGTTTCTTTGCAAGCTCTTGGTGTATTATATTTGCTACTTGATTGTGTCTATGTAAGTAATCCGTCTGTGCGAAGAGCTTGCAACCAGGAGTGATGTGTTGTCACATTATGTCAGAAACTATACATTTTCTGCATGTGTCATTTGTGAGTGTTGTATCTTTGAGTATGTGTTTTCTGTAGTTTTTAGTATTTATGACCTGATCCTGTTTGGCAATCATGAATCCTTCCGTCTCCCCAAAGAGGCATCCCCGATCTAACCAGCTGTTTGACGCAGTTTTGTCAACAAAATCCTGGGCCAGGTCGTAAGGATGCCTGCCATGGAGAGCCTTTTACAACATTAAGCAATCATGGGCTCAAAGCCCATGATTGCTTAATGTTGTCTATGCTTTTTATATGTTGTGTCAGGTCCATATGTTGTGAGTGTAAGTTTAATGGTGTGTTATTTGTGTCTGCTAGAGTTACTGCTTTATGTAACTGTGATGTTTCTTGTTTCCTGTAGAAAAACTCTCGCAGTGACTGTATTTGTTTGTAGTGAAGGTTTATAATGTCAATCAGGCCACGCCCGCCATCTTTACGTGGAAGGGTTAATCTTTCTGTGGCAGATTTAGAATGATGTTGTTTATGCTTAGTAAGTGTTGTTCTTGTTTTCCTTTGGAATTGCTCGAGATCTGTATTAGTCCAATGTATAACTCCAAAACAGTATGTGAGTAGTGGGATGACATATGTATTTATTGCTTTAACTGTGTGTTTTTCATTTAACTGTGTTCTGAGGATAGCATTTAACCTACTTTGGTATTCTTTAATTAATCTTTGCTTTATTTGTATATGTTTATGTTTATGTTTATGTATTTGTATATGTTCTGTTAGTTTGGCCTGTTGGAATCCTAAATACTTATAGACCTCACCCTCTTCCATGGATTCAATAACGTCTCCATTTCCAAGTGCAAAATCTTCTTTCTTCAGGATTCCTTTTTCTATGTGAAGTTTTTTGCATTTGTCTAAGCCAAACTCCATTTGTATGTCCTTAGTGTATGAATGAGTGATTTGTAGGAACTGTTGAAGTTGTTTTTGTGTGGATGCATAAAGTTTTATGTCGTCCATGTACTGTACATGAGATGTGTTGTTTTTTCATGTCCGATATTGTAGCCATATTGCGTGTTGTTTAACATGTTGGATAATGGATTCAGGGCTAGGCAGAACCAGAGAGGACTCAAGGAATCTTCTTGAAAAATTCCTCGCCTAATAAATATTTCGTTTGTATGGAAGTGTTACTAACCCTGAGATGCAGTGTTGTTCTCCAGTGCTGCATAGTGTTTTGGAAGAATGCAATGAGTAATGGATGTATTTTGTACATGTGTAGAATATGTAGCAGCCAACTGTGTGAAACACTGTCGAATGCTTTTCTATAGTCTATATATGCCATGTGTATGTTTCTGTGTTGTTTGTGTGCTTGCCGTAGAATGATTGAATCTATGAGTAACTGTTCTTTGCATCTCCTGTGATTTCTACGTCAACCTTTTTGTTGTTCTGTAAGAATGTCGTGTTCTTCAACATGTTTGTATATTTTGTTTGTGATACATGATGTCAATAATTTGTAGAGTGTTGGAAGACGTGTAATTGGTCTGTATTGTGTGGGGTCTGTGGTTTTGTTGTTTTTAGGTTTCATGTAGGTGATGCCCCGAGTAAGAAATTTTGGCATGTCTTGTGGATTGATGATGATGTGTGTTAGATGTTTAGCTAGTTCCTGGTGCAGTGATGTAAACTTTTTGTACCAGAAATTGTGAATGTTGTCTACACCAGGTGTCTTCCAGTTGTGTGTTCTGTTAACAGCGTAGCGAATGTCGTGTATGTTTATTTCAGCACAGGGCATAGTTGGTATGTTGTGCAAGTTTCTGTTCTCCTCCTCGATCCAGCCTGCATCAGCATTGTGTGTAACAGCATTGGACCAAAGAGAAGACCAATAAGTTGTGAGTTCTTCTTCTGTTGGTGTGCCACTGTGCTGTGTATCAGTGTTTGTTTTGGTACTGATTTGTCTGTAGAAAAGTTTTTCATTGTTTGTGAATAATTTATTTTGTTGTTTTCGTAGTGTACATGTTTTGTATCGTTTGAGTCTACGTGCTTTGGCTGCGAGTTTTTGTTTTAGTGTATCGATGTATTCTGTAATGTGTGTGTTGTGATGTTCATGTTTTGTGTGTGTTTTGATTTTCTTGAAAATGTTTTTGAGTTGTTTCTTTAATTTGGGTGTTATGTTGTTTTTAGTGTATTGTGTCAGCCTGCCTAATTGCTGTCTAATGTCATTTATTTGTGTTTCTATTCTTCTCTGCCAGGCAGGCTTGTGATAGAATTGTGTTTTGTGTGTGTCTGTCTGTGAGTGTATTTTCAGTCCATGGTGTGTTACTACTGTGACTGCCCCAGCATAAACTAATGTATGAATGTCTGAGAGTGTAGAAATTGAATGAATGTAGTTTGGTAGTAAGTGAGTGTTTACATAATCTAGTGTTTTTCCTACTGCCTTTGACGTGTTGATTTTTGGTATTCGTGGTCTTTGTGTGGGATCTGTACCAGTATATTTAATGAGTGTTTCCTGAAATATAAGTGAGAGCGTATTAACTAATTCTATGTCTACGTTATCAGTGATGGATGGGGAAGTGCCTGCAGTATCATTAGTGGTACTTGTTGTGTGTGTGCTGTAATCAGTGCTTGTTGCTGGATTATCCTGACAGGTTACGTGATCTTCATTAATGTTAAATGTTTCTGTCTGTTGATGTATTTGATCAGCAACCTGTTGTTTGATAAGTTCAAGTGTTGTTTGTGGGATAAGGTTGTTGTGTATAATTGTTCGTTTTTGATCAACAACCCTTTGTTCGGTGACAGTGAGGTGAGGATATTGTTGTGTGAATATGTGGTGTAGTTGTTGTCTGTATGCTGTCATGTTTGTTTCGAGTCTTGTGATGGTGTAGTAAGTGCGGATGATAAACTCGTTCATTTCTGTTGTCCATTTCATCCGTTGGCGTGGTTTTCCAGCCTTTGTGGTCTGTGGATGCATTGCCACAGAAACACCAAGGCTAGGTTGATTCCTCACATCTGTTGAGGGTATTGCAGTAGCCATGCTTGGGCCGGTGCTGCTTTCGCCACTAGTAATCAAGGGAGACTGGAGCCTATTTTTCGAACGTGAGCCTCTGCTTAATATTATTATTATTATTAGGGAGTATAGTCTATTCAAAGATCTAGAGTAAGAGAGAGAAGACCTCAGAAGGCCTATAAAGCAGTGGCGTGCCGTCATTAGAAGTGGAGGAAGCGCCGCTTCCCTTGTATTTTATAAAAAATAAATACATATTAATTTTGATATGAAAATAATCGCACAATATTTTATTATAGCCGCATTATATATCTTATTACAAATTTCTATACTACACGTGAAAAAAATAAGATTGCTATTGTATATTCGAATATTAGTGGCGGAGTGGAATCTCTGTACAGTATTGTCAGATTCCAAAAAGCCAGATTTACAGAGCACCAACTTCACCCGGTTTAGCCGGTGGAAGCCTACGACCTTGAGTTGATGCTACACATTCCAACGCTTCCAATTCTATCCGGGACCGGATAGAATTGGAAGCTGTTAGCCGCCCGCCCGCTAGATATTTGGCCGATTACGTGAATAACAAGTAGATTTATAACTTAACCCAACCGATAAGAATTTACTGGTATGTTTTTACGATAGTTCTGTATAGTTGACAGGAGTTATCAAATATTTTAATGGATTTTTTTTTATTTTTATTCCGCTCTCCGATTTTATATTACTCACGGATTTCAATGTTAAACCAGTGATATTACGATTTCGTACATCCCATCTTTAAGGGGATGTAGAAAAAAACATGTATAATTCTTGTATAATGTTAAAAAATTAACTGTTACTTTGACAGCGTCATTTACAACTAAATTTAATGAATGAGAGAGATGCACAAGGTACAGAAAAAGCTCTAGAATTTATATTCCTTAAATTTACGATTTATGTATCTGTTTGTCATAAAAATTTCTTTTTCCCGAGACTACAAATATTCGAGTACAGAGTAATCGGTTTCGACTTATTTCTACTTAAGAAGTACAGGTAAGCCTCCTACAACGCGGTACCTTTACAATGCGTTTTCGCTCCAACGCGGTTGGAAAAATGCGGTAATTTTCTTACAACGCGGTACTTTTACAACGCGGTTTACGGTAGTTAGAAACGAATTATCTTTCACATAACAGAAAAATTGCAACGGATTACGTGATACGAACCGCAATTCGGCATACAGAACTAAATGTCCTTGAAAACAGCTGTTTGTCGCTGTTTCCGTGTTATTTATTCCCTTGAAAGTTTCAGGGGAAGACCGGTTTCTAGA